TTCCTGTTGTTGGCACTTGCAAGCTTGGGTACCCAAGACGTGACCATAGTATTTACAATAGCTTGATTGTCTCCCTCATTTTCCTTCATGTTTGTGTTATATGTAAAAGCAATGCCTAATAAAATGCTACATTTTGAAATAACTTAAAATTTGAAGCCCGAGCTACATAACACACAGTTAAAATGTACAGGTGTTTATTAAAGTTAAAATGCCCAAGTATAAGTCCAATGAGTAAAAACCGTGGGCAAGTTCCAGTCTTTGAAGGCAGTGCATAGGTTCACCAGTTAAAGCAGCTTTTCCAGTTCCATATGGGCTAGCCAGCGATGCCCGAATCCCCCATGGCCACACCTCAACGTAGGGTTGTGGAAAACAAGCAAACGAAACAATCGGTGGACTAACAGATGGCACAATATTTCAACTCCACAGCTACAGTATGGGTTGTTCCTTTACTTAGATTGGTCAGGCCGTGTATATATCAACCATAAAAGGCACGTCTCGACGATTGCTGTCCTCTCCCCAGTCGTGACTCAACCTTGTGGTCCCCAGCACGAGCCAGTCAGAGAAGGGGGAACTGTAGGACAATAACAGCACTCGGTGGACTACCCCAAAATAAAATAAAACACATGCACACACACAAAAACAGCATGGGTACATCCCTTGACTTAGCTGCATTGTTGCTGTATGACCAGTCTCTCCTTGAACACTGTTGTAACCATGCCAGCCCCACGGTCTCCACACTCACCAGTGACAGGCCTGCCAGTATTTCTTGGGTTCCTCTTTTACAGGAGTTAAATGATCAAATTCCAGCTACGGGAATAATAGCTACTAGCTGCACAGCATCTGCCCTCCCATTTTTTCCCTCCTGACATTTACATGACTCACTGGACATGCAGAAGAGTATGCTTAGGCAGTGTGTGAAATATTGTATGTATAATGTATGCTGAGCTACGGGAGTCTGGAGTCTGGTCTTTTGACAGAAAGACTGCAGCAGGATCCAGAGGTTTGTATTGAAGGAGGTTTAATGATGATAGGATTGTCGTGTGTGTGTGTTTGTGTGGTTATCTATAATATCTATAACAAAAAGAAATATATACAAATTATTAGAACTGTGAGGGTTCTCCCTGCTCCTCCTACCCCTCCTTTCCCTGCTCCCTCTCTCTCTGTATTTACTTACCTTGTTTGGCATTTCCTGGGCGGGCCCCAATCATGCACCTGCTGAGCTCCACTCCTGTTCTTCATCAAGTAATCATCTCCTACAATAAAAGACCTGCTGACCTGCTCTCCAGTGCCAGATCGTTCTGTCATCCCAGTGGTGAACTACTCGGGCTTTTTAAAGATTTTTGAGAATTCCAGTGACCTTTTGATGCTTACCTGTTTTTTGTCCCATCCCCAGCACTTCATTTGGAGCCAGCCTCATCCCGTACCCACCAGTTTCTGTAAGCCTCCGGTCAGCCTCCATCTCCACAGACCTCCCATCTGCAGCCAACCCGGACCCGTCCTGCCTCCCCTGGAATCTATTCCCCTGCCAAGACTATTTTTGTAAATAAAATACTTTTTCCCCTCTGCATATTTGGATTCCGTAACAAGAACTGTACACACTGATAATTACAAATATATACAATAAACAATGTAAATCAACATATTTACAGGATTATCATTATGAATTATATGTACACAGAGATATATTGGCATAAAAATGCACAATATGATTGTCATTAAAGTCCAACAGGGGGGCGTCAGAGACTACCTCATAACGACAGGAATAATTAAGGTGCAGGGTAGTAAACTGACTAATTTTTACCAGGAGGAGAATAAGTATATATAATGTAAGAGTAAGTATCCTTATAATTGTAAGGATAGGAGCGAAAATACACACTACAAAAACAGCACAGCAAACGATATGAGGCTCATAAAAAGAGAGATACTTAAATCTTCATTTACATATATTGAACAGAGAGGCCAACATGCCTTTCTCCTTTGCACTCCCTCTGTGTACTGGCTACCAGTGCACAACTCAAGGAGGGGCAGTAATGACGTCCTCTTAAAGGCACGGCAGCATTATTGCAGCAGCTTTACACCACGCCAAACTGGAGACTCTAGTGTTTGCAGCAGGCAAGGTACAGCCAGAATATTGGTTACAAGCTGTTACCATATACAAACCCTCATTAACCCTGTCTGATAAACAATTATTGACTGAACGTTCTCACCAAAGAACCAAGCAAAGCCACTGAGCTCTGACTGAAACTGTCAACAGACATACTGCACTCAGCTCTTGCAATAAAATGTCAGAGGCCAACCTCACTGAGGACAACAAAAATGCTTTGCTCAGCCTGCACACCAACTTTGGACCTATATTTAATGGTCATCTTGGTCATGCATCTCTCACTGAACATGTCATTGAAACAGGTGATGCCATAAGAGCAAGTGCAACAAATGTTAATGACAATATCATAGAAACGTCTACCAGTCCATGGGATGCTCTTGGAGTCATTGTTAACCAGGCAGTTACAGACCCAAGATTTTGTGTGGATGTTAGGAGTCTCAACAAGGTAACTCAAAAAGACTCATATCCCTTACCTCGAGTAGATGAGCCATTAGACTTTCTAGACAGGGGTAAATTTGTCACAACACTAGATTTAGAGCAAGGCTATTGGCAGGTTGCTGCTGCAGAGGACTCTAAACCAAAGACTGCCTTTATCCCACATTGTGGTCTTTTGCAGTTTAGGTTATTACCCTAAGGATATTGTTTACCTTAATGATATTGTTGTTGTTTCTCCCACCTTCAAGTAGCAGTATATCTTGAAGTGCCCAGCAGACTCAACCTGCTGGTCTGTTGCTGAAACTCAAAAAGTGCCAGTTTTGCCCCAAAAAGCTCTGCTTCCTCCATCCTCAACTTCCTCCACATCACTGACAAAAACTAGAGCAAATGACCACAGACGTGTAAAGAGAAAAGGTTTGTTCTCACTGTGTAAGATTGCCAAATTCAAGTACAATAGTGGTGGTGGCAGTGGAAGGTCTTAGTTTTTAGCCCATGTATTTAATTTATTAGTTTAACAGTTAAATATGCATTTAAAAATGTTAAATGTTATGATTTTTTGTTCACTTCTTTTGTGGAAGAACAAAGTTTATCAAACCAATAAATCACTTCATGTTAAATAGAATGCTTCAAGTTTTTTTTTTTTGGTAAAGAAGATGACATTTCCAAAGTAAGGTTTGCATACAGCTAATTCAAGCATACAGTTTGCTGTTAGTCATTGCTTGGCCACTGATGCCAGTAAAATGAGAAAGCAGAGGGGGCTGTTTCCAATTGTTTTTTAAGCAGGACTTTTTAGGGTTTGTGAGCAAAAGAGAGAGTGATAGAGAACGGGGCTGGGGGTGCACTGGCCACTAATGTATGCGTCTCTATTGTGGTGAATCAATGCACCGTGCAATAATAGGCACTAAGGGGGGTGTCCGGGGAATTGGGGTAAAGCATGAGGCTGGGTTGTCCCATGGCAAACTCATGTGGGATCCCCTTAAGACACATATCCACAAGACTGAGTTAACTAGACACCTCTACATGAATGCAACTACAACAAGTGCTTTGGTATACTGGAGATAAGGACTCAAGGACACAAGAAGAGAAACAAGAATATTTGGGCATTTGAGTTCTGCAGTAGGTTGTGGTAAAAGTGACAAAACCACACTGAAGATGAGAGGTAAGAAACTTTTGTGAGTGTGCACTTTATATGCATGTGTGTGTCTGCATGCTTGGGAATTTGATAAGTTGATCATGCGCGAAAAATAGTGATAGTAGTAGAAATAAAATATTAGCAGCAGCAGTTGTAGATTATAATAAATAATAAAATGGTGAGTGTTAAACCAATGAAAAGTATGCTTTCAAAGAAAAAAAGGAGTTTTGAAGTTTTGAAATGATATAAAAAGAAATACTTTATTTAATTTTATCCGTTTTGAAATGAGTTGCTACATAACATAACTTGCATATCTTTTACCACAGATTTTGAGTGGTGCTTCCAGATTTTTATGGTAACAGCTATGGTTTAAAATACTGTATGAGGGGATACGATTCATTACAGAAGTGGTGTCCATCAATTTTAAATGAAGGAAAACGGTTTGAGTCGAGGGGTGTGACTGTAGCAATGCTGCATTGTCTTAGTGTCAGACTATAAGAACAAAAACATCAGTATTTGAATAAAGATGACAGTGAACAATAGGGGGCTCTGTACAAACTAGCTTGAGAAAAATCTGAGGAGGGGTAAGGAGGGGCATAGTTTTGTATTGTGGTTATTAAACAAAGTCCTTGAAATTTCACTTACTAAACCGAACTAAACATGTAGTTATAAATAAAAATGTGATCTTAGTACTTTTTACTTTTTCACACCTTACGGTTGAGATCAGTTATGTTTGTTTTGGGTTGATTAGGGCAACATAATACAAAGAGAAAACCCATAGCCAACATGCAACAATGCCCCATTCTTTGTAATAACATTGAAATAATTATATATACATTAAAGTGTATATGACTGTTTTCTTCTAATTATTACTCGGTTCGGTGGTATAGTACAGATGGTAAATATTTATTATAGTCATACACCTGTGGAAGAAAAGTAGAAAAATACAGGAAGTAGCACTCTAAATCAGAATGTCTCTACCTATGTTATCCACACCATGAACAAGGAAGGAACATTCTGTCAGATTAAACCTTCATTTAACAAAATACATTTATTTTTATTAGTCTCATCAAGTCTTCGGTCCTTGTTAACATTATGGTTGTTAAGTGACAGTTATGTAATATCTGCTGCTCCTGTCTGAACAGGAAGTCCAAATTATAAACTTAGGCAAATAGGCAAGATTGTTACTAAAGTCTTATATGTGATGATGTTTACTATGTTTTAGTGAAATGAGTCATACGCACTTGAACATTCTTGCATTATAATCAGCAGGTAGGATGTGATCAACAACACAGCACTGACCCATGAGAAAGAATGAAGAGGTCCAAAATGTTGTGTATTATATTCATTTGGACCATCTTCCTGGCTGTACCATGTGTGGGCTTCCTGCCGAACTTCTGGTCCCGTGTGCTGACCCTGTCCTGGGACTCGCAAACGCACCAGTACATCACCGAGAGGGCTATCCTGAACATCACCATGGAAACGCTGAGAGACATTAAAAACCAAGACCACATGGAGGAACAGGTGAGCTTTAAAAATAATCCCCCCCTCTCCACACCTGACCTTTGTTCAGATTCACCTGTGCTCTCTGGAACACTAGCAGCGTAGATAGCATCTAGTGACGGTATGTGAGATTACAACAGGAGTGGGTCAGACAATCTAATTACAGATGTTCGATTTAAGATGACCTGGAACCATAACCATATTATAAAAATGTTTATTGTAGTTTTTAGTTAAACATAATTTTTGTTATCATATTGCACTGATTCATAGATCACATGTACAAGCTTTGAATGTTGAGCTTGTTAATAGTGATTATTGATTTATATTGATTGATATATTAATATGGTATAGAGCCTCACAAGGGGCATAGGTGAGGAATTTAATAATTAGAAGCCAGAAACTATCCCGTGATACAGAGAAATTATCTTGTGATCCTGTGAAACCATCACACAATCCCATGAAACTTCCTTGTCTTGAATTAATGACGAGAAAGACAGGGAAGCAGTGAACATGATAACTCTCCCTCTGTCACCTTGTTAGTAGAGGCAGTGCATCTCTGGGCACACAATTCAATTGATTCAATGCCCCACTTTTCCTATCTCGGGCCCTGGCTGAGCCCAGGTTGGTCGGCTGTCTGTCTGGAGCATGAGTGGGTCCGTGTGCGCTCTGTGTGTAAAAGCTCCATGTACTTTTGTTTATGTGACCTCCCCACGTGTGGTCACAGGGCTGGCTCAGGTCATCCAGTTGCCTCTGTTCTGAAATTTTGAATGTAGTTATTTACAAACTAAAATTCCATTGGAAAAAATGTTATAAGTTGTTAAACTTCTCACTCCTTTTTGAACAAACCATGATTAATGTTATGTAATTAATGTGTTTTTTCTCTGCAATGTTCAAAATAAATCAAATGAAAAATGAAATGAATGAGACTTTATTGATGGATTAATTAATTTAAGCTTTTGCCTCATTATTCTTGACCCCATGCACAGAGCAGATTGGGTCGAGGTTTTTGGAGGGCTGTGGGGGAGGTGGTGAAGTCTAATGCAGCCATGGACTTCATGAGCTCTACCAGGTCGGACCCAGTGTTCCACTTTGACTCGGAGCAGTGGGAGGGTGCCATGGGGGCACTACGGCAGATGTGGACCCAAACCCTGCTCTCACTGAAGGCAAGAGAGTACCAGCAAGCACGCCACAGTCTGGGACAACTCTTTCACTCACTACAGGTACAGCATTTACTATAATATAAATAAAATGTGTTTCACCAGAGTTCATATTTTTTGTCCACAAGAGAATCAGCATAGTGCATTGTATTGGCCTAATATCAGAAAGTATATGACCGATACTGAGACTACCTCTCCACCCAGTTACATATGTAGGCCTATGTGTATGGGACTGAACCACGGCAGGTAAGTGTCGTGGATAATTATTTAAGACACACCACCACATGAGGTGGATGATGATGCTACAAAAGAACCTGCATGCCTCATGCTCAGTGATCATTTTGACGTGTGAGACAGAAGTTACGAGGTTAAGAAGACAGTGTTATTTGCCATTTAGTATGGGTTAGAGACGGGGCTTTCCTGATCAAACCCAGTTTGAGGAAAGCAGCCTCCCATTGCTGAGCAGAATGGATGCAGTGTTTGGTTCTGTTGGAGAGCTAATCTGTGGTAGTTTAATCACACACACAATTTGACACAATGACACACAACTGTGAAGGCTGTGGAGTGCAAATGCCTGTAGACACTCACAAACACACAAAAAGTGTGTTTTCTGTCTTGGGGAAAGACACAAAGATGTGCTTCTTTTTCCAAAGAAAATCCTTTTGTATGAACTGCTTCATTATGCCCAAACCATACACTGAGGCACATTATTGTGTGTTTCAGGGAAAGAAATGAACTACCTTTTCCAAGGAGCAAAGTCAGTTAACAACAACAACAACAACAGAATCCTGAACTATCTAGATGACTGGCTCCTGTGTGCACAAGCACTGGATAAGTGTCGGGCAGACCCATCGCAACCGAGTAGGCAAACCAGGCAATTGTCTAGGGCCCCCAGCTCTGGGGGGCCCCTGATAACGACTGGTTTTGTGGTCAAATAACAGCAATGACCATTTTGTGAGCGTGGCAGCGCCACCTTAAAGCTCCTCCTTAAAAGCTATGACCGAAATGTGCCGAAATGTGCCGAAAAGTGCCGAGATCCTCCTCGGCAGACCCCCATACTTTGACAGCGGCCCGCGGCGACCAAGTAAAGTAAATGTTTGAGCAGCCATCAGTTCAAAATGAAGCGAAATTATACTCTCGGGGAGCCAGAAGAGAAAGAGGAAGATAAGAAAAAAACAAGACACCGGTAATTCAACTTTGCACGAACAGGCTGACACCATGCACGAACTGGCTACAAATCCGAGTCACTCTGTCTTGTCTCATATTCGAGGTCTGACACTCGACAAGTATGATACTATTATGGTCGTTGCTGTCGGGATAACACGGGAGTGTGCGGGGCGTCTCACTGCAGTCTGCAGATACTGTGCGACACATCACAAACACACGCTCCCTGCGTGCGCTTTATCCGCAGCAGCGTGTGCCCTTGTGTACCAGCGTGTATCACAGGGCAGGTTAAACTTTTTAAATCGTCTTACCTGTCCACCTGCCTCACGTCAGTGCGCCGCTTCTCGCCCTTTCACACTTTTGCTCCTCCCCGTGTAAAGCGCACAGGCTCTATCCCCAATGCGCTGATTAGAAGAGCAAGACGAAACGCGAAGCACTAATTAATCTAGAAGTATGTTACAGTGTTGGCACAGAGGATGGCTACAGCACAAAGCAGACCTTCTGCGACATGTGGCTGAAGTTTGCCTAATAAAAGTGCACATATGCGTCTGTATTTGTGTTTGGTTTGATAAACGTGCAGAGGCTGGTAAATCCCACTGTAAAACCAGTAAGAGAATGTAACTCCAGTTAGGAACTTGAAAAAACAGGTTTAAAAATCCTACATGCATTCTTCTCTTTCTTCTCATTTTTCTGTAAAATACCAGCCTCTTAAAAGGGGCTTCCCAAACTGTGGGTGAGGGTCCAAAAAAGAGGTGCAGAGTGCTTCAGTGCAGAACAGTTTGCTTGGCTTTGTAGTAGGTTGATCATTTGGACTTGGTCATTTTATGCAGGGTTCTAGTTCATGTGTTAGTTTCAGCGAGGGTGGCATAGCTTTCATCGTAGTGTCTCGTACGTACTAGAGGCCGCAAGGGAATGCAAAACAAGCAATTTTTGAGAAACAATAGAATAGAGCTAGAGGTTCAGTCATAACCATTTATTTGATTGCCTTTTGAAGTTATTTGTACATGTGTCTACACTGTAAACATTTGGTATTGTCTTAATGTTATTTGGTAGGTGCCCATAGGGTCTTCGCCGGTCAGGGCCCCAAGTGCCCCTTTGCCTAGGGCCCCCAAATACCTTGAAACGGGCCTGGTGTCGGGTTCACTGTCTCCTCTGTTGGAACACTTACAGTGTTTGAGGTTGTATCTCAACCTCGAGAAGAGCAGGCTAGAACCGTCTCAGGACACACAGTGTTTGGGTATGGTTTGGAGCTCTGTAACATGTGACAGTTCACTTGCCAGAGCTGGACAGTGTGGCAACAGATCTCCCTCCAGGGGAGGGACAGCAATGTCAGGTTGACCCTCTTGTATGCTTGGGACCAGAGATTCTACAGTTTTTTGCAAGGACTCTTGGAGGCTGGGAGGTCACTAAACACATTAAGAGAAATCTTGGCTGCGTACAAGGCATGGAGAACTTCTTGAATTGGAAGACCTGAAATGGCTGTCTTTGAAAACTGCCCTTTTACCAGCATTAGCTTCAGTCAAGAGGGTAACTGAGCTCCATTCACTCTCAGTGCATCAGGACGTTTGCAGGTTCCTGTCTGCAGGGATAGGTGTTGTTTTGGCTGCTACTCGTTGATGGCCTTGAAGCTCAACTGCCACTTCTCTACACAAGAGGGTGATAAGCATAGGCAATTGTTTGTGTTTTGGTCATGGCCTTGGTGTTCAGGTGTACATGACTTGATCGGGGAGGCATCGGACCACAGACTAGCAGTTTAAAGAGAGAGGTACTGGGACAGCCCATGTCTAAACCTCGGTTGTCACACTGGCTTATTGATATAATCTGTCAGTCTGAAACACACTGATGCTCATCCCCATGGACTTCACATGTAAAGCCGATGTCTCTGACACCATGGTCTGAACGCAGCAGGTACTCATGGGTGCTCAGTTTCCAAGAATTTGAGGGCCCATTCTACAAGTACGATCACGGCTTCTTGGGCTTTGTGGCATGGCATGTCACTGGACCGGTTCTGCACTGCTGCCATTTGCCCACTTTGTTGTTTGCTTTGTTCCTCCTTTTATCCTTGCGCTTTGCAGGTTAGTAGTTCATTTGCTGGGACCTAAGCCATAATTTTCTGCATCTGGCAGAAGTAATTTTGTTGTGAACTGATAAAAAAGATACTGACCATTGTGTCTTGCAGGGTTACGTCTCCCCAGCCATTACATCTTGCGAGACAGTGCTTGATTTCACCTGGTGCCAGGGTTAGTGGGACCAGTACTTTGAGTCTCATTCACATTACGCCCTGCTCAATCCCCTTGCGACGTGTCTTACACAGTCCCACACATATGGTATATGTAACTGGTTGGTGAGATAGTCATAGTCTCAATACGATACAATAGAGAATGTTATGGTTACAGCATGTAATCATTGTTCTCTATACAAGACTATCTCTCCAGCTCAATTCCGATTGGGGATCTGTTGCATCAAAATTTGATCAATGAGCATGAGGCACTCAGGTGCCTTTAGCGTCATCAAATAATTAATAATCCATATCCCCTGACCCCCTGTGGGTCAGTCCAGCACATATGGAATACATAACTGGATGCAGAGTCTCTTCATTCAGAAAGCCATTCTTACATACTGTAGCCATAATGTTACTGTTATCTGATAGTGAACACAGGTGAGCCTGAACAAAGGCCAAGTGAGGAGGAACAGGTTTCACATTACCTAGTTGTTTAAAAAATAAAATAAAACTTTATTTTGCAGGACTTCTACAGTCATAGTAACTGGGTGGAGCTGGGACATTGGGACATCTATCTCCACCTGCTGCACCCTGAGGAACCGGCTGTCCCTGTGGCCAAATGTAAAGCACCCATTCAATAAATCACTTGGGATCAGTAAAGTGTTTTTTACATAGACACCACACCTGACAACATGTACTGAGCCCTATATGTTTACAATAGGACTGACTCAGAGGACATAAGGAGAGGGGCTCTAGGTGCGGCAGCAAACTATGGGCTATTTTTGTTTCTTTGTAGTAACCTCAGGATTGAGTAATACTTTTTTTTTTAGCATACATACGATCATTGATAACTCTACCAGATAAGACTGCTATTGTTCTTTATATAAGTAAACAACCACTTTTGTCCAATTAAGTCTAGTCACTTAATCTAAGCAGGGCTGGGCATAAAGGGATGAGAGGCCGCAGGTTAATACCAGTGAACAGCAGTGGCTATTCTTTAGTGCAGTTTTTGGGTCCTTAGGCAAGACACTGCAACCACCTTGCCTAGCATGAATGTGGCGTGTGTGAACTGTGATGGCTGGAGAGGCCGATGGCGCAGATCAGGAGCCTCAATTTTTCTGAGCCTCAGATCAAGCTTGGGACAGTGTCCATCTATATCATTGCATTTGATATTTTTTATTTAGTTGTTTACTAAAGCTAACCAGTTCGATGTTATGTTGCTTGTTCTAATTTGTGACGTTGTGTTTGTGTATGTGTGCAGTGGACACTCCCACCTGTCTAGAGTGCTTCAGTCTGACCTGCAGAGACAACCTCCTGTCCCATCTGACGAGGGCTCACAGAGACTCACTGCTCACCACAGGATACTTCAGCAACACCCCATTGAAACCTGAGGGTACTGACCTATAACACAAGCATGAATACGTTAGTCAAGGGTAGACTTTATAAGCAATAATAAAAAACAGATATACTAGCACTTTTGAACACATTTCGAATGGATTGCAAAAGAGAGAGTAAAAAGTGTTCTTCAATACTGCCTGCCTGTAATTTTACAAGGTATGCGTTAAAGAAGTGACTGAGTGTATTTACATTTCTTGAATGTCTAACTGTAACAAACAGGCTGGTTTGTTACCTATAAGTACACCCAACACCTTCACCCTTCACGAAGACACTTTAATATACCACACTTTTGATAACACACAACACTTTAAACATATTTGCACATATTACATAAGACATTGCACAAAGTTGGTTTAAAAATGTATTTATTGGCCTTCCTTTTACCACTTAATCCTGAGGCACAGTGGCACTTTAATTGGAAGCTGCTAGTCCCTGAAGGAAAAGGAGACATTATTAACCAATTACCTTTTAAAATTGATTAGTGCAATATATCAATATGTATATAATGTTTTGAAATGTTTTAAGTGTTGATGTGTCTTTTGGTGTATTTTATGGTGTTTTAATGAATAGTGCGGTTTGCTTTTTACTTACCTCATTTTCTTTTGTTCAGATCCTAAAAGAGTCCCCTAAAAATGAGGTCCCTCTTGTAAGGTTCCGGTCTGGACCAAGTGTATTATATTGTACAGGGGTAGTAGGTCAGGTGTTTTATTGGTTTATGGGTTTAACATTTTAATTGGTGTATGATATTTTTAGGTATATAGTTGGGGTTTTAATAGTTATTTGGTTTTTGGTTTGTTTTATAGAGTGTTATGGAGTGTGAGGTCAATATTTTAAGAAAATGTCAATTCTACCATCAGTTGTTTTAACTGTTTTAGCTGTTGTAGTTTTATCCAATCAGTCAGACCAGAATAAAAGGCGCCTCAGTACATCATTCCGTGTTCTTCTGCTGTGGAGAAAACTGCTGCCTGTCTCCATTTTGAACGCTGCACTTTTTTTTTGCACTTGCACTTTTTTTGTAATGATTGAAAACCAAAAAAGTAAACTGTAGACCACTGCGTCATGTCTTGGTGTTTTTAAAACCTTACTCACTGAACCCCAGCCTGCTCACTGTCAACCTACGTCACACCGACCCTCCTACTCGTCACTCATATTTTCTACTGTAGTCGATGAAAGAAATTCTTGGTCAACTAAGACGTGCTCTGAGCAGCAATTAATTAACTAAAAGGGGACAGGGTGCAAGCTCTGGAAACTATTCAGTATTTCTATGGTCTGACCACGCATCAGATGCAAACTGCACTTGTAAGATGCAACAACATGTATTTGTGTGAATATGCATATTTTCTTCAGGTAAATGCAGTCATGGAGGAGTGATGGACAGCAGCAGGTCTTTAGGGGCCAGAGGAGGAATAAACAAGGATAGCACATCTCCACTCTTCTCTCCTCATCACTACCTCCACACAGAAGCCGCCCGAGTCGCAACTGAAGCTACGCTCGCTGTACTCCGAGACCTGCGGGACACTGTGGGCCCCAAACTCTTCCTCAAGTAAGACATAGCACTGTTTAGACGAGATATATTATGCACAACCACCATTATGAGCTTTTACATGTTATCAATCACAGAGTTACAGAGTTATAGTTTGACTGATTCATGCATGATTGAGTACTCCTGTATAGTACTGTACTGAGGCATGAGTCTTCTGAAAATTCTCATTTTGACATACCTCTTATCTCCACCCACTGTTCTCCGAATCTGGGTCATACAAGTACATGTCCAAAATGTTACTCAATTACAAGTACACATTTAAAACCTACTCAGAAAAGTGGGATTACATAAGGTACATATCGGAGAGTATGCCCCTTCATGTTACCACACTGAAATAAAAAGGTTGCTGGATTTGCGTACACCTAATCTAGAAAGCAGAGGCATGCCATAAAACTAAGTCTTTAAAACTTATTCAGTACCCTCTATGAATAATTTTCTCCAAACACACTTTTTCATGGTCACGAAATGTATTTAGCTTATGTTATATAATTATGAAAACTAACCTTTTTTACAGTTTATTTTTGTATATATAATTTAATTCAGTCTACACAATTACTTCTACATGTAAGGTCAAATATCCTTTAAAGGTTTTAAAGTAAATGAAGTCCACAAAAACATTCTTTTTCAAAGTTCTGTAATGAATCAAACAGACCAAGAGAGCATAGGTACAGTGACAAACAGCCTCTTTGAAGACTTATTTCAATGAAGAAGCTCACAACATTATAGAATCCCTACAGTTTAGTGTATAATTTACTGTTGAACTGTCAGACTGCAGATTTGTGGACCTAGTTTATTATTAATATCTCTGTGATTCCTGGGCATATTCAAATGAAACAAAAACATTTTTCCCCCTACTCATTACATTGTACTCTGCCCTGAAATATCTAAGAGGAAAATTGACACATGTTGAACCTGACGATTTGTATAGTGATTACACCCAAGAACTCATTTATTACAACAGTAATCTTCATTTTAACAATGTTCATTTTAGCTGCTCCTCATCTGTATTCAATTATATTGACCAATAGAATGTTGTAATGTCATCTGAAACCCAGCAATTATTGTTCTTAGTTACTTCCTATATTACTATACTATACTTCCTATATTAACCATGTTGTTGTTCTATGTCTCTCTTTGCTCTTGTCAGTCTTTTGAGTGTGGACCAAGCCTCTGCTCTGGTGTTTGTGCTAGACACGACGGGCAGCATGTTTGAAGAGCTCACAGCTGCACGACTCAGAGCTCATGCCATCATTGCACAGAGAGCACACAACTCACAGCAGCCAGGAACCTTCATACTGGTACCTTTCCACGACCCAGGTAGAACACTGTTTTTTTTTTTTGTTTTTTTGTTTGTTTTTTGGGGGGAGAAATTAAGGAATTATTATTATTATGCTAAATATTTTGTATAGCTTTCTGACATTTTATAATGTCATACATAAAAAACATTCCCGAAGAGGTTTCAGATGTCATCCATGCATGTTTCAGTACTGAAGCAACTGGACCTTATTCAAACACTCCTAATGGTTAATGTCCAATGGTTAAATGTCCAGTGCTCAACTCACAAGCCTATTTCACCCATGCTCCCACATGACAATTCTCCATAAATCTACAAACATGACACAAACCTGATGCAATGTGCAAGTAGTTTCAGTAGTAAGATGCACGCTGATTGTGTTGTGATAGCACTCAGCGGGAGGGTCAAATACAAAAGTGAAACTTATAAAACATTATACATTATAAAACAATATATATAATTATAAAGGTTCAGGTTCAGGCTTCTACACCATTTTGTCACGTTAACAGCCAAAAGACATGCCATTAAAACACATTTTCAACAAAAAGGGTGACTAACTGAAAAACTGCTGGCTAATGCGAATTGGTTTGTTACTGTAATGTTAGCGGTGTGTGCGCCAGTGATGGTGGTGGTCAGAGGGGCTGATGGCACAGATTGGCAGCCTTGCTTCTGTCCAAGGGCAGCTGTGGCTACAATAGTAGCTTACTACAACCAAGTGTGGAGTGAATGAATAGTGCTCTGTAAAGTGTCTTTGACTGTCCATATATAAAGTTGTTGTTGTTGTTGTTGTTGTTGTCGTTGTTCCAGCTGAGTCAATTCTTTCTGGTCAGATGATGTTAAAACAAAGCTCAGATTAAAGACTAACTTCAGTAACAGTTTCAGACAGAGCAGTGCCTACAATTAGCATCACACATCCACAGGGACTGTTGATGACAGCAGCTGCTAAGTATCAATACACTGAGCAGAAATATATCACCGGGACATAATCACTTAAATTGCATTTTCTGTATCATTCATGCATCTTTAACTCGGGGACTTGTACAGTATTCAATGTTTGTTTTGGTTTTTTTGTTTTTTTCCACAGAGGTCGGACCAGTGTCAGAGACTGATGACCCTCAGGAGTTCATGCAGTACATGGAGAACCTGCTGGCTCTGGGAGGTGGAGACGAGCCTGAAATGTGCCTCACTGCTTTACAAGTAAATAGTAACTTGCTGTTATCATGTTACATATGGGGTATAGTGTTTCTTTTCTGGTGGATTGTCCATCATCTGCTTATCCCAATGACAATGTTTTTGCTTGGCCTGTGTGTCCATCTCTATGGATACAAGCAGCTGAAAGTACCTCATCATGTTATTCCTTGCAATAAAAGCACCTGTAATTCAGTACATGCAAGATACACAATGCCATAAAAGATACACAATGCCATACAAGATGTGCAATGTCATACAGTGGAACAATTCAGGTAAAGCAACATCTCCTTAGAGACAAACAGGCGGCAAAACCTCCATAATAAAAAATATATTAAGTTACAGTATACTTTTAAACTGGTGCAAAAATACAAATTATTTAACCTGATTTAATGTTTTAAACTAATAGTAAATAGAGTTAAAGTTGTTGAAAGTGGTGGGTGGAATATGTGTTGAGAGGTTAGTATTTCACAATGTTCCTGGGTTTGATTCCTGGGAAGGGTGGGGCCTTTTGTGTGTTTGAGCAATAAAGCAAGCCTGAACTATAACCCAATGGTGGTAAATCAGCAGTTGGTGTAGTAATTGTAGCTTATTTATCATTCTCCTGTCCCTCCTGCAGTTGGCGCTCACACACAGCCCTCCTCTCTCTGAGATCTTTGTCTTCACTGATGCCTCTCCAAAAGATGCTCATCTGTTTGACACTGTGAAAGCCTTAGTGCTGGAGAAACAGAGTAAAGTGAGTATTCTAATGATTAATTATAGCGTTACAGTATTGAGGTACTGTGTCACCCTCTGCTGCCGCCTGTTAAAATATCTAATTAACAGCATGGCTGTTGGTAACACAGTGCAAACACGGACAACTGGCCACCATCAAAAGGATGAGAGGAAGGCCAATACAGCAGATCAGCAGCCTAGTTTCCTTTAGTCTACCCCAGGGCAGCTGTGGCTAAAGAAGTAATAAATAATGGCAGTAGCGTTTGGAGAGGCTTGTAAAGTATAACTCTGTATCCAGGTGACCTTTCTGTTGACTGAAGACCCTCATTATACGACGGAGAGCAGAGGAAAGAGGAGGAAGAGGAGGAGGAGAGGAACAAAATCTGTACAGAATCTAGACCGATTTTCTCTCTACTCCTCTCTCTCCTCTCTGTCTGGAGGAATGACCATTTTCACTTCCAACGCAGACATACACAGAGTCTCAGCCATCGTAGAGGACAACACCGCCACTGACAAAGTATGGACATAATAGTTTTTTTGTTTTGTTTTTAACTTAAAGGTCCTATCTTACACAAAATTGTCACACAGAGATCCTGCTTTATTAGTGTATCTACATCTCCAAAGCTCAAAATGCTTTGTTCCACCTTATGATGATACGAAGTTTTATTTTTCAAGTTAACAGCTACCTTTTTCCTTTTTGTGTTTTCATTTTTAAAGTACTCAGCCTAAACATGCAGGATTTGTGTTACACATGTGTGAATGAAACAAAACATAAGGGTACAACATGGTTAAAAGCTCAAAAAAGTCTGATGTCCACAGCAACATAAAAAAAAGAGGTTGTTCGTTGTCCATTTTTTATTTTATTTTGCACAGTGATAAGGTGCCCAAGTTATTGCACCAGCACATTATACAATAAAATAAATGACAGCAATAAATCTTAAAAAAAAAAAAAATTATATTTGATATGTAGTTGAATGGTATTCTCATTATCTATTTACCAGGTGACCCTTCTTCACGCAGAGAGCAATGGGGAGCAGTGGGCGGCTCATTCTTTTCTTGTTGATGAATCTTTGAAAAACATCACTCTTCATGTCACTGGCCTCCTCTCTGAATGTCTCCTCACCAGTCCATCAGGTATTTGCTTTTAAATTGCGCTGTTGTAAAGTATGAAATTGAAATTAATATAATATAATATTGTGGAATAATCAATTTAAGTAAGCGCTCAAGTAAGTAAATTATAAACAATACATGGTCCCATTTAGGTATTTAATTTTTTTGAGAGAAGAAAGCTAAGTAATGGCAGCTTGTGAAAAAAATTAATTTGTGAGGGACTTGTTTGACAGTGTAAATCAACTCACCCGTTGAAGTACCAACTAAGTCCAGCAGTGCCTTTAGTTAGCTTTATCCCCTCAAAAAACATGATCAACGGCATCACTTAAAAGGTATAAATATGACCATGTATGTGTCTGTCTTCAGGTCAAAGACAGTCTCTTCTGAATGAACAGGAGCCTTTAGCTGTGACAGAGCACTTTGAGGGTCTGTACAGAATTGTCCTGCTCCCCCCAGTGCAGCCAGGACAATGGGAGCTCCAAGCCAAGAGTGAAGAACACATCACCTTTAATGTCATAGGTAACTACAATTATACACACACAAGGCAAAACGTTTAATACACTGTATCTACTCATTTTATGCTAAAGTCAAAAGTTAATAGTGAGGAATAACATTTTTTTGTAAACTTTTTGTTATGTCATAGTAGCAGCAAGACTTCAGATTTTTTATGTCTGCAAGAATCTGTATTTAAAGGCAGAGTATGTAAGTTTCTGTAGGCGGCACATCATCTGCATGATTCCATGGAAATAGAAAGTTAAAACCACACTTCGGAACATTCCCCATGGAGATAGTTAAGTTTTATGCCATATTGAGGAATATTATTAGCCAGATTCAGCCGCTGGTTACATAGAAACCGTCTGACCCTGCAGCGTTAGAATTCGTTCGCTCAACGGTAGGTAGGTACTTTTTAAAAATTTAACCAGTCGCTGCCATTTGGTCATGATGTATGTAATGCACCGCTAATGGGGATAACTGGTATATTAAGCTTTTCCCAAAATTCCGTAGGAAAAAGGGCCCCCTTGATAAAATTCAGCAAACATTCTCTTTACACTGGCATTAACCCTATCTGGCTCAAATAAATTTTTAGTATCAGGAAAAATCTGATATTTGGGGAAAATTATAATATTGGGTAGTAATATACAATCCTGACTTATTTATCCTTAAAAAAAAAAAAAAGTATTTTGCACTTCTGGCAGGTCGTTTGCATGTAGCCATTCTTGCACAGTCTGCATCGTCCATGTTTATCAGCATGGATGGGAGAAAAGGCTCCTGAGTTAAAAAAGCTCATAAAATATGGATGTGGAGTAAGTAGGTAATTGGCATTTAGCTGTTGCAAATCTGCAACGCCTGCCTGGAGAGGGTTAAATCCTCGATCTCCGGAATCGTTGCCAACACTGAATATATGACTGTTCGCTGATTGGCTGGTGCCCAACTCACACTTCAGGGGTTATTGCAAACCGTCTAGTGTATTCTGATTCCTTAGCTAGTCGCTGGAGAAAAATTAAATTGAGCCAGCCTGGGTAGATTATTGCCAAAGAAACAATATTTCAATGGAAACAAAAGAAGGAGGCCAGTTTATGTTGTGAAAATGCAAGTCCACTTGTAATAGTTTTTCTATGTTTTTCAGTGCAAGAACAACCAACAAAACAAAAACATACTTTTATTTTTATTTATTTATTTATTTTTATCAGCAGTTGTTTATTTTTTTTATCTGGTTAATTGTGATTTATTTATTATGAAATGAAACAGTATCGTTACTAGTGACTTGAGAATTTTTGACTTCTCGACTCTCATTTAGATGTTTTTTTGTGTTCTGCTGTGTGCCTACAGGTGGCAGCAGTGTGAACTTCCTGTATTATTTTGCCACTGTGACCAATGAGACTCACCCAGGACTGGCCAGGATGGAGGGCAGTCCTATTGCAGGTGAACTACATTTACGCTGTTATTATGTTTCTAATTTTTTCTTTTTCTTTTTTCTTTAAGCTCCAAAACCTGTAGAAAATGAATAGCAGATCATTATCATATACGACAGATATAGACATGTTATATATTCGACTTGTTTCTATGCAAATATTTACAAATGACCAGATTTAATATAATAATTTCTTCTGTCTAATGTAATTGGTTGTATAATGTAATTTTCTAAAATGTATTTCACAGTAAACTGCACTCAAGCAACAATAGCTAGTCCACTGATATAGTATTAGTATTAGGACTAGGATTAGCCGTCGTAATCGTAGCAGTAATAGTAGTCATAGTAAGAGTAGCAGAAAAAGATTTTGCAGTAAATATTGTGTATTTTAGGTGATTCCTCTCCTTCTCTCCTAACCAATGCCCTGTTACTTTCTGCTTGTCTTTAGGTGCCCCTGTGTTTCTGGTTTTGGCTGTAACAGGTCTGGCCGTGAATGCAGAGATCTCCTTTAGTCACGTGACTTTCCTGGGAGCAGACGGTGAGAGTGTGCAGGAGGTGGCGCTAAACTCGTCCTCGCCGGCCTCTACCTTCTCAGTGGAGGAGCTGGTGGGATGGGTGCATGCTGTTCCCCGGGAGCCCTTCTGTGTTCGGCTGACGGGACAGGACCGCAGTGGGGCAAAGGTGGAGAGAGTATCGAGTGAGATGGTCCAACCCACCCACGTTCAGATACAGGTGAGTTAAATTGTTTTTTTCTAATTATTACTTGGTTTGGTGGAGTTGCAAGTAAGGCATTACTCTAACAGATTAAACATTAAAGTAAAATTAAGTATTATTGTTTTGAATATGCTACATTGACTGAAATTAACATAGTAGCATGGAGCTGGCTGGTATAAGTTTAGCCTGGAAAATATAACTTTGTTATAACTTGTCTACCTCACTGGCTCTCCAAAGCTTACCCGCTCCTCAGTCTTCATCACCTCACTCCTTCCTGCTGCTCAACACACCTCCTCCTCGTCCAACCAGACCTCTCCTAGATGTCACCTAATTAGTTATCATAATGTCTTCTGCCAGGGTTTGAGCGCGGACGGTAACTCATTCGATAAAAGTTTCTCTTTGTGTGTATTCGAGTCTCTCCAGGTGAAATGTTTTCATGAGTTTCACTTTAGTTTTTGACACTCTCCCTGCCCTTTGCTCCCCACAAATCACTCCCCCTTCAGAGCACTATCACAACACAATCAGCGTGCATCCCACTAATGAAACTACTGCACATTGCATCAGGTTTGTCAAGATTTTGCGTACAGTTTTGTGTCATGTTTTTGTATATTTATGGAAAATGGTGATGTGGGAGCATGGATAATATTAGGCTGGTAGGAGGAGCATGCGACAGGATCTTACAACTAACCATAAGGACGCACTCACTGGTTAAAATAAAATGCCTTTAATTTACAGCATGTCTTATTGGACAACTTACAAAGTCCTGACACGTTTCAGTCTGGCTTTCCTCAGGGGACAAACAGAATTATGAGTAAACCATGTGAGTTAAATACAGGAAACCCACCAATAGGGCTGCTCCACCTGGAAGAGGAGGAGTGGAGATTTACCTGTGGACACTACCTGAGACACGCCACAAGATGGCAGTGTTAGAACAATAAATGGGACATCATAGGGTATATAAACACTCATTATGTACAAAAATATATACAAAAAAAAAATAAAAAATAAAAAATACAAATCTGTTATAAAAACACAGAAGTTCAAATCTTCATTGAGCCCAGGATATTTTGTTGCCTGTAATTTATATATCTTGCAGACTGCTTGGTTGACCTATCCATACAGGCAACACAAACTATCCTATGGTCATGACAGCAATCCATCTAATCTTCAAGCCCATGGAATTGATCACACACCAGACTGCAAAAAGGAAACCGTATTGAAAAAACTTGAACAACAAACTTTCTGGATTTATAAATTACAGGCAATATCCTGGGCTCAATGAAGATTTGAACTTCTGTGTTTTTATAACTGAGTTGTATTTTTTGTATATATTTTTGTACATAATGAATGTTTATATACCCTATGATGTCCCATGGTTCTAACACTGCCATCTTGTGGCGTTTTTAGGTGGTGTCCACAGGTAAATCTCCACTCCTCCTCTTCCAGGTGGAGCAGCCCTATTGGTGGGTTTCCTGTATTTAACTTACATGGTTTACTCATAATTCTGTTTGTCCCCTGAGGAAAGTCATAGGTTGAAACATGTCGGGACTTCGTAAGTTGGCCATTAAGACATGCTGTAAATAAACAAAGGTATTTTATTTTAACCAGTGAGTGCCTTGGGTTTTTTGCATCTTCAAATTGACTTCCCTTCCCCAAAGAGCACCACTGAGTTCTATCTACTGTGTATTATCCTCAGGAGGTCCAGGGAGTGCTCCTGTTGAAACTTTTTGGGAAACTTTCAACCATAAGCAGAGTTCAAATAGGGCTCAAGAGAGATCTCTAAAATACACAAACGTATATGGATGACATCTAAAAGCTTTTCAGGCATGTTTTTGATGAGAGAATGTTTTAGCATGAGAGAAAGCTAAAACATTTATAACACCCCTTCTTTAATTAAACATTTTTATTAATCTTTTGATCATAATCTTATCTACCGAGCAATTTAGATTGTTAATATTATGATTGCGAGGTAACAGTTATGGTACCTAATGAGGTATTATATTGGCTTCATTCATACCTCATTGATAGTTTTTTTTTAAGTGGTTTGGCCCAGTGAAGATAAATTAACTATATAATTTATAAACATCTGCAGTCTGACAGCTGAAAGGCAAATCTTACTGTTATTGTGAGTTATGCAGTCTTGTCTCTCTTTAGGTCTCCTCTGCTCCTCACCTAGTCCCGGGACACAGCACTATGGTGACCTTTGACCTTCTGAACCATGGCCCGGCACGACTCTTCAGTTTAACGGCTGATGATGATTACGGCTATCTGCAAAACAGGGGCCCACACAGGTACGCTCAAACTACTAAAAGAAAAAGGTGTATTTATTAAACCAGTGATTCTCAAAGTGTGGTACCCAAAGACTGTATAACTACCGCGCTAGCTGCCGTGTTCCAAATAGGAAGTTCACATGCAAACTCTTCCGGCTCCTACTGACCATGGCTCCCATTGTCTTACACTAGAATATCTTTGCTCCTCTCTCTGTAACTGCTGCCGTGAGCCTTGCCATTGTGGTCTTAACATGTTAGTATTAAGCCACTCTGCATGATCCTGCTGTTTTTATTTTGCCATTTTGTCCGTTAAAAAAGTTTTATTCCTAAAATAAAGCCTGGCTCCAAATTCACTCCACTATGGGTGACATCACACTCACTTAGTCCACTTCTTTATACAGTCTATGGTGGTATCAGATCCTCTACAGGTCTAGCATTAGTTCAGAATCTATTTTAAAAGTACACGATGTAACTTCGCTGGTAGAGTGTCTGCAACCTTGCCTAGCAAATCCAGAATTCCAGAAATTCTCTCACCTCATATCAGAGTCCTGCACGGGTTCATTTTTGGAGACCTGCTCCCGCGCAGTACAGCACCACACCCGCCCGTTAACCCGTCTGTGACAAAGAGGGCCTTTGTCCCTATTTCTTCACTTTTCATTTCATTTACATCTATATCAATAAGTCAACTAAACAGCTAAATAACACTATCCTGGGTTTGTTTTATTTAGTCTTTGTTTAGTTAAATTAATCACTATTCACAGTTACTTTAAATTAATATAATATAATTAATATCTACTCATTTTGCTTTACAACTTCCCACCTTACAACTCCACATGGTCTGGAGACAGTGATGGGTCATTTGAAGCCGAGGCACCGAGGCTTGTAAAAGGGGGCATGTCGAGTGAAGCCCCGATTCGAGGCTTGCATCAGATTGCCAAAAAAAACACCTGACCTGTGAATGTGAGGCTTCGTTTTCGTGAAGATGACGTCATTGGTTCATTTACTGTGTTACGTGCATACTCACACTTCATAGGCTACTGTTTTTTTTAAGGCAAGGCAAGGCAAGGCAAGTTTATTTGTATAGCACAATTCGTACACAAAGTAATTCAAAGTGCTTTACAGAATAAGAAATACATTAAAATCATAATAAAAACAAATCAAAACATAAATAATCATGAAGATTAAAATTAAAAAAGAGAGACATAAATTGGAGAGAAGAGTGCGGAATGAAAACCTTTCAGTTATTTGCACAGTTAAACAGAAATGTTTTGAGCCTGGATTTAAACAGCGTCACAGAAGAGTCTGTCTCACATGTTCAGGAAGATTGTTCCAGGTTTTAGCTGCATGAACCTGAAACGCTGACTCCCCTTGTTTAGTCGTGACTCTGGGCACCAGCAGGAGGCCGGTCCCTGAGGTCCTCAGAGTGCGAGATGGTTCATATGACACTAACATGTCACAGATGTACTTTGGTGCTCGGCCATGGAGAGACTTGTACACAAGCAGAGCTGCTTTAAAGTCTATTCTCTGAGGCACAGGAAGCCAGTGCAGAGACCTGAGCACAGGACTTATGTGCTTTTAATTCACTTTCATTTTATTCTAACTTTCACATGCTTTTTTTATTTATATTTTGGTTTTACTACCAGAATATGGCCGTGTAACCTACGTATATTCTTGTATTGTTTTTTTGTTTTTTTCACTGAATACTGAGTACAGTCAGTTCAACATTCTGTCAGCTCAAAAATTATATTTGTGTTATTTAAGCAAATTTCATGGATCATGCCACTGCTGAAGTGGTTCAGAGAGTGGATCAGAAGAAGCAAGATAGGCACTGGGACAGTTTATAGTCGTGGATTGTCTGTCTGTCTGTCTGTCTCTCTTTCTCTCTCTCTCTCTGAGGTGTTTGTGTGTTTGATGTGGATACTGCTTAAAATAAATACTTGATTCAGAAGAAGATTAGAGAATTGAGGATCTTTTTTATTTGATAAATGCAACCACTGAGTGTGATGTTTTACATGAAACATGATTCCATTTGGTTTCTCTTTTTACATGTTACATTTTTTGTCCACAAGATGGTGTAGTTGAACATATTGCATCACTTGGCGAGGCACTGACTCCTGTACCGGTACAATTGCCTGAAAGCCTCAGATGATTCATGGGGCTTCATTTGGCCATCACTATCTGGAGACAAAGAGGGGGCATAACCATCGTCCGCCATATTTAAAGGCTTTGGGGGAGGTTTTGGGCCAGACCATGTGGAGGGAAGACTCGGATTCAGTTCTTTTTGTTTTATGGATTTGGTTTGTAGGATTTTGTTTCAGTGTTTCTAGTTTATTTGGAGCACTATTATTTAAAAGGGGATTTAGGCCCTCATACAAGAATATAATACAGCACATCTAGAAACAGGGAAGTTAATAAGACAGACTAACCTGTGTGTGTTGGTGCGAACCCACAGGGGGGACTTCCTGTCTGGGTACTATAAAAGTGGGAGCAGTTTAGCTATTCAGGGTGCAGTGCAGCTGTGTGCATGTGGGGTATTTTCCTTTGTTTTGTTAATTTCTGTTGCTATTGTTTTTATTTAAGCTAAGCTAAGTTATTTTTTGCAAATATGTATTTTTTTTTCATTTTGCCCACAACTCCACGGTGTAAGGGATAAATAAATATTTTGGTAAAGGGACATATCTTTGTCTGCCTCTTACTTTGACCACTTTGGCCAGCTTCCCCATACCGTCAGCATATCAAAGTTAAATCCGCACCTGCCCAGACCGTTACTCGTGCCCGTGATAAACTGGGGTCAGCTCATTAGTCCGACAACCCAATAGACCTATATGCAGTGTTCTTCTACCTCCTCTTGTATATTCAGTATAATGACAACACTTTTTACCTGTAGGTTCCATGTTGGTGAGCAGGGCAGATTCAGAGGGCAGGTGGACCTCTTAGCGCCCCCTTCTGCTCGTCCCGGAGCCACAGTCACCCTCAGCCTCTCTGTACGGGACATGAGCTCTGCGGACTCCAACTACGCTGTGGTCTACCTCTCTGTGGTCCCACCTGTAAGTCATGCATTCAGACATGGTTAAAACTGAATATGTGAACAAGCTTTGGTTGTTTTCAACTCTTTCAAGCACATTTTTGTAGATAAGTAGTAGGTAGAATACTGCAATACTAATAATAATAGTAATAGCTAAAAGAGTGATGGAAGAAATACATGATTTTGCTTCTTAAGTAAAAGTTCAGCTACTGGAGTGTTAAAGTGCCTGTTTAAAAATGTACTTAAAGAGTAAAAAGTAAAAATATTTCACACAGTTTTTGAGATCTAATAAATCTTCAAATGTTAATAAAGTATTGTGCTGAATTTTGTTAAACAGAAATCAGAATCAATTGTTTTTTTTTTTGTTTTTTTTTCTAGCTGTTTTTATTTGTATATTTTTGTTTGGTCAAATTATAAATGTGCTAAAAAATAAACCCTCAGCCTTTTTAGCAGGTCTCAGACAATAATAAAAATGCTTTTAAATATCCACTTTAAAATGTACTTACTAACAGACACCTAAAGTTTTTACTTAAGTACTTTACTGTGTTACACTCCATCACTGAGTAATAAAAAAAAAAAAAAACAGTAATTATCATGACAAGTGTAGTGCTTGGAAATCTATTTTGGTTTGGGCGATGCTAAAGAAAAGGAATTGATGAAAAGTGATGTTATGATTTGTGTTTCAGCATTTACCAAAAAAATAAAAAATAAAAAAATCTGGTCAGAATAGAAAATAATCACCTTGTTGCATTTGGTCTTTAGCAGTGTACTCGTCAAAATCCATTTAAAACAATACAATCTTAATGCATTTTTGTTCTCGTTTAGGACCCTGACACAGCGCCCCCTACCTGCTCCATCACACGTATCCAGTCTTACTGCAACACCTCCATCTGCTCTGAATCCAAGTGGAGTGGATCTCTGGCAATATCCGACAGGGGGCGCTCTGGATTAGCCTTCATTCAGTTACATAACGGAGGAAGGCATCGTCACTCTTCACCATAGACCTCCACTATCGGAGGAAAACCCTAAAATGCACCAAATACACCACAATCGCCATAGGACAAAGTTGCAAATTGGAGACCCACCTTTTAACGTTTCTAACTGGGTGTCAGGACCGTCCCAGCCCCTTTGGGTGGGCTACACTTCTTCTTGCTGTTCCCACTGGGCGGAAATCCTTATTTGGGATGGGGCGGGTAACATGAAGCGGTGCCGTGTCACGTCTGGACAGCAGGGGGCGCAGCGAGACAACAGCATAGAGTTAAGTGGAGCAAAAAGGACAAGTACAAGCTGTGTTGTAATACTTGGGGGACTTTTGTCTTGTGTTTTGGTGAAATGAAATACTTACTGGACTTACAGTTGTTGTTTGATACTACTGATGTAAATAATAATGTGAAAAAATATCAAACATTTTGGTCAAATCTGTTGTAAAAAGTGAAATTTGTATTTAGTTTGTAAGAGATCTTTAAGCCACAATAAACATCCCCCAAACACTGTACACTGGTAATACTCGATAACTTCATTAATTTCATTCATTTTGGTTCACTTAAAGAATAGAAAATCAAAGCATTGTGGCTAACCATTTGCACTTTTAAAAAAACATTATCACCACCTTTCTTTGCTCTTATTTATCAAGGCTGTCAATGTTACTGAAAGATGCACTCTGTGATGCATTACTGTAATGTCCCTTTCAAATGTCTGTTTGACCTGTGTTCTGGACCTACTATGACAGTAACTGTTGGTGTATGTGCAATGAAGGTACAGCACTCCAAATTAAAAAGGTTTTACTGTTTAAAAAATAAAGTCATGCCAATAAATAAAAATTACTATAGTAAGAAGTAATAAAATGGTGCGTGTCCGAAGCACCTGTGTTACAACTGGCTCCCTGTACACATGGTGTTAGGACAGTCATGCCATAGTGAATGAATAAGTGAATGGTGGTCTGTCTTTGTGCAACCCTCCTAAGTGGCTGGAGCTACAATACTTAATGCTCAAAACTCAAAACTGTAAAGATAGACAAAATGAACTGAAGTTATCTCTGATTTGCACTTGAAGATGATAAGTAAAATGTAGCAATGTTTACAATCTCGAAAATGTATTTATTTTGGTTTCAATTGACCTGTACATAATCCTGTATTATTCTACCCCTGAGTGAGGATAGTCTGTAGTGCACCCATGCCCTCTGCCCTGTTTAGGGTGGTTTGTAAGTACAGTTCGATACAAAACTTGTACTGTAATGTAAGCAGGAGAGGTACATGGGCTGTCGATTGAAACATGATCAACAGTACAGGTGCAGTAAGTTAAAGTTAGTAGTTTGGCTAATATTTTGTTTCAACATTTGTGTCAGGTGGCAAAAAAGACAAAGGGTCTCCCAAGGGTCTCAGTCTCCTAAAATTTGGATGCACAAAGGGGAGCAGTGTTGGGAGGAACATGCTATAAAAGTAACGAATTACTGCAATGCATTGCTTTTTACTGTAACACAGTAATGTATGGCATTACCGGAAAAAATAAAATATTCTAATATTTTACCTGATACAAATGTCAGTAACGCATGTTACAATGTATTTTTAACCTGAACTGAAGTGGTGGGTTTTTCTTCATACAAATTTGCTAAAATCACTGTGACATCAGCAGCAGTGAGTGTCAGGATGAGCCCAGAGGTGCACCCATGTAGACCATCCGATCTTTGCCCCTTTTTGCACTCCTACCAGCAACTGCAATGTAAACAGGACAGGACCACGGAGCAGTGGCCCCAATAGCGAAGACTTTGTAGTCTGTCAGTGCACCAAATAAATTCCACTCCTTCATATTTCACATTGCCAGTCTTGGTCTCTGGCAGGAGGATATGTCCATCAAGAGTAAAGGCCATAATGTATGTAACTATTTTACCAGCATCTTCCTCAGATTTCAGAACCAGGATGATTTGGTCATCTGTGTTGGGAACAAACTTAAAGGAAGAAAAGCCATGAGTGGGGTTGAGGTCCCCCACATGGCTCACATGGATGTCTTTAAAGTCTGCTGAACAGCTGAGCACCATGTTAGTGCCATGGCACTTTTAAAGTAGCTGTTCTGAATGCCACCAAATGAAAAAGTAACTGTACCTGAATCTAAAACATGCATTCGGTTACTTCCTAATACTATGGTCAGAGGGGTAGGAAGAGCCCATATTGGCAGCCATGTTTCCCAGAGTTTTTTTTTTTTTTTTTTTTTATCAGTTTGGGAAGGGAGGTATAGTCATGTTTATATCTGAGATGCCTGTCAAGATTGTAAAGCACATTTTAAATAAAAGTTTGCTGTTTAGATAGATGCACCTAATATACCTCCATACATACAGGTTTTTAGTCCAAATTTCTTCACACCAAAACATCTGGGTACTTTACTGCAGAACTGAAATGCCCAAATATTCTTGTTTCTCTTCTTGTGTCCTTGAGTCCTTATCTCCAGTATACCAAAGCACTTGTTGTAGTTGCATTCATGTAGAGGTGTCTAGTTAACTGTGCTCACTCTTGTGGATATGTGTCTTAAGGGGGTCCCACATGAGTTTGCCATGGGACAACCCAGCCTCATGCTTTACCCCAATTCCTCACTTAATGCCTATTGAATTGATTCATCACAACAGAGACACATACCTTAGAGGCCAGTGCACCCCAGCCCCCTGTTCTCCATCACTCTCACTTTTGCTCACACACCCTAAAAAGTCCTGCCTAAAAACAATTAGAAACATTAACAGCCCCCTCAGCACTCAGGCACTCACATTTTACTGGCATTAGTGGCTAAGCAACAACTAAAAGCTGAAATTCAACTATATGTTTGAACAAGCTGTATGCAAACTTTTCTTTTGGGAATGTCGTCTTCTTTACACTTGCAATGAAGTCTTCTAACACTTGAAGCCATTTATTTAACTTGAAGTGATTTATTGATTTGACAAACTTTGTTCTTCCACAAAAGAAATGAACTGAAAACATTTAGCATTGTTAAGGGCATATTTAACTTACAGATGAAACAAATAAATTAAATACATGGGCTAAACATTAAGACCCAGCAGAACCACCACCACTATTCCACTGAATTAGGGACTTTTGCAGAGTGAGAACAAACCTTTTCTCTTAACATGCCTGTGTTCACTTGATCTAGTTTTTGTCAATGTTTTTTTTTCCTTTACGGAAAGTAGAGACCACAAAAAACAACCTCAACCAGTTCATGCCCCGTATCTGCTAAAGCTGGTGTTGCACTGATCTTTGCTTGGTGCCTGAGTGATAGTTTCTACCATTGAGCTCTAGACTTTTTTTTCACAGGGCCACATATTTAAAAATATTATTATATAAGATAACTACTGTGTAGAAGGAGTAACATGCCACACCTTAATTATAATTCAAGTAGCACGGTCTTTCTAATATAATCTTTTTAAATAAACAATATTAAAACTGATTCAACACATTTTGTTGTAAGTTTGACTGCATGGTTATTTTGAGGGTCCCGGCCTGATAAATTTAGGAACCCCTGTTAGAGTGTGTCTGCCCCCAAGAGCAAATCAGGCAGATAGGAAATTAAATCAGAACCAAACCAGGAACAACTACACTGACTGTAATCACCGGTGTAAAACGCATTTTCATAATTAATAAAATCTCTTCCGGTTTAGTTGAAGTTTGCGGTAAACCAACAGCGCGTCTGTGCGTCTCACATCCGCACTGAAGTATTGATTAAAACCACGACAGAACGTGTTCTTCTATCAGAGGTAGGACGGTGACATTATTGCTCTGCGCGTTTTAATACTAATATATCTTTAATAATATCTCTTTACTACATTTTAAAAAAACTTTTGTATCTTATTTAATCTTATTCCGTTCGTTCAAATCTGCATTGAAAGTTAAACTGGATTTTAACTGCTACGCGGATTACTGCAAACCTCCATTCACATATATATTTATATTTGTCTTACAGTTTTTTTTTTTCTTTAACACGAAGTGAAATAAAACGAAAATGGAGAGGTGTGGATTGATTACACCCGAGAAACAAGCAGGTATGGCTCACGTAATGTACTGATGTACTTGAAATATACTACTACTAAATACTACTACTGCGTCATTTGGGGGAGGAATATCAGTCTACTGTCTGATTAGTGAAAGGATTGTTCAGTTCATCCCCTTAGAATTAGAAGGTTCCATATGTGTTTTGTGTAGGTTTCAAGTCTTGATTTCTTGTACAGCAGAAACAAAAGAGGAGATACACTTACCTGATACATGAGAATAAAGGGCACCATCAGGAGACAGTAAATTGAGAAAATTTAATTTGAACATTTGTGGGTGTTCTGGGGAGAGGTCTCTTCTAAATCTCTTTTAATATTTTTAACTTTGAAAATGCATGATTCATTCAGAATTGTAGGTTCTTTAGCGGTCCAAGTTGTAGTAATAAAGTGGTGACCATGAATCTTTGGAGAAGAGGGACAAACATGTCCTCTCCATTTATTGAGTGAGGCCCAAAAAGACCAGGAATCAGTCCAGTGTTTAACATAACATGGGGTCGAGGGGCATGGTCCATGCACACAAACTCCACAATTCTATGGTTTACAGTTCTCTCTAGAAAACATGTCAAAAACAACAACTCACGTTTCAGGGGGCAACTTATTTAAATCAAACAAGAGTTTTAGAGAATACTCTACACATTTAAAAGTCAAATATGAAACATTTGCATTTACATATGTTTGTACATGACCATAAACTTAAGTTTACAAATAGGTAAATATGATCCAAATAATAGTTGAGAATTCAACTTTTACTATTCAATCATCAATAATGGTTATTGGATATTAATTTGCTTGTTTTTTGTTTCTAGGCTTCTTAGACTTAGTTTTCTTTAGTTAGTAAGCAGTCTAAGAGCTAACAGCATTATACTTGCACAAAAAGTATCAAAAGTAAGATTAAGACTTCAACTTTCCTTTCATTTTATATTATTATTTTAAGTCATTCATAATGACTCAAAATACTTAAAACTGTATCTGAAATTTGGCCTGAAATATCCTTTTGAGACCAAAAACTCTTCTGTAACAGAGCAAGGATGGAGCGTCAATGTTTCAAAGCAGTTAACTGTGATCCATTTTAATTTATTCTGTGTTCTGATTGGTTCAGGCAGATAAAATCTTATCTCTTTTGATATAGAGTACAATAGTTCAACCCTCAACTGCTAAAATGTTATCATAGAAAAGAAAAATAACTAAAACTTCCCCAATAGCACAAAGAAATGTCCAAATGTCAGGTGTGTTGTTTTGTGTCAGTGCCTCTGCAGAGTGTGGATGTTCAGGTGGATGTGAAGGACCATGTTGCTACAGTGGTGTCAACGCTGCTCTACAAAAACAAAGAGGAGAAACCCATCGAGGCGGTGTTTGTTTTTCCCATGCCCAGTGAAGCAGCCGTCTGCCATTTCAGTGCTAAAGTTGGAGAGACTCTTATCGTGGCTGAGGTGAAAGAGAAGAAACAGGTACGTGCAGAAGAAATGGAGGTGCATGTGCAACACAACAGGCAAACAGTTCTGTAGGAGCCATACGTGGGTTTTCTATTGGTTTCCTCATGTGACTAATGTTCATGCACTTTAACATTTTCAACACTACCTGTTCCAGGCTCGTGAGGAGTATGATGATGCACTGAGCTCCGGTCAACAGGCCTTTCTATTGGAGGAGAGCGACCAGAGTCCAGATATATTCTCTATGAGTGTTGGCAGTCTGTCCCCTGGAGAGAGCGCCTCCATCAGGCTGGAGTATGTCACTGAGCTGGATGTGCAGGCCGATGAAGCTCTGAGATTTTGTCTTCCTGCTGTCCTCAACCCTCGATACCAACCTGCAGGTCAGACTGCTCTGAGGCTGGTTCCAAAAACAAAGTCAATTTAGGATTTACAAACTAATGGGAAAGATGACAACCCTGAAAAATGAACAATATCAAAGTTTATTTTATATTATTAATAATCTTATTGTAAAAAACTTGATAGTCCAATGAGGTTAATTTGGTCTTTCGATAATTTATGTTATTAGGTTGTTTTTTAAGACCAAGAGTTTGTTTTCATACCTGACCTGATTTATACAGGTTTTTGTCACTGTCTTCCTGCCAGTGGAGGCAGGATGACAGCGCCATCTGCAGTCCGTCTTCCTCAGGACAGTATCCCAGGTGTGTGAGAGTAAAAAAGCCCCCTCCTGGTTTATATTCCTTTATAGTGTCTATATGAAAACAAAGTCTTGGTCTGAAAAAAGAACCTAATAACAAGAACTTTAAAGGTATTTTAAGGCAAGAGGGAAACAGTTCATACATCTGATTCAGACCTCTTACTGCGTGATGCACTGTAGAGCTACAAGATCTGAATCACAATTTGAAGGGTTGCAATGAGCAAATGACAAACACAAAGTATTTCAGTAATACAATGTCCCCAGACACCAACATATTATATTCTAATGTTTGGAATCAGTCAGTATCACTTTATTTGTTCCCAAGAGGCAATTTAAGCGCATTGACCAGTGGAACACAATCATAATATAAATCTCAGGCATCTCAGCGCAGCTCAACAGGTAGAGCCATCAGATCCAGTGTTTGTGCAGTTTGAGGTGAGTATCAGCCCTCAGGACAAAAGTGTCCCTCCTCTGTGTCCAGGGGAGTCAGGTGAACTCTGGAGACACAAGAGGAAAGACTCTTCTACGCCTCACTCTGACTCTGCTCTGTTGTTTTGGTCAGAAATAAGACAGGCCATTCCCTCTGGAATGTCTTCTGTCATATTTGGTACAGAAAGTCTGTTGTACTGTTGTAAAAAGTCTGTAGCATTTCAGAGCTAGCTGGTTAGCATAACTAGCTCCATTCAGGCTTGCCATAGATACAGGAAAAACAAACGGCTCACATCACACAATCCAATAGTCCTTAATGTCTGTCCTTTGAACTACTCATGTTCCACTTCTTAGTTCCTCAAAATCCCAAAATTTAAGATAAAAACTGCTCACAGTGTCAGCCAGTCAGTCACAAGACCAGCCAAACACATCTAAGCATGTTGTTGTAATAGTTGTAATCAAACCTACAATCCCTGTAGCTTAGTCTTCTTCAGACCAGAAATACAGTTACACATGTTTCCAAACTGGTTCAGCCCTGGTGCATGGATAATGATTATAGATCATGTGTTTTTACAGGAACAGAAAGCAGCAGTGTGAAAGTGACATCAGTCCCGTCTTCTCTGGTGCCCTATGATCTGACCTTTTCGGCCCGAGTCGAGTCACCCCGGTCAGTCTCCAATATAGAGTCCAGCTGCACCGTGGACCCGGTGGAGTATCTCAACCAAGATCAAACTAAGGCATCGGTAAACAACGCTGATGTTGTCCATCCACTGTAGAAATAACTACTTCAACAATAGCTCATCTGTGTGATCAAAATATTCAGAAAATCATAAAATAAGCAAATATTAGTATATTCTGACCACAAGTTCATTATATTTTTGATTGCAACATTTTTGTAATTGTAATTATAACTGAAATCAAGATTATAATTTAATTAACTACAACCCTATATGATAATTCTACAACACCATTTCATTTAAACCCCATTAGAACTACAGAAATACTACACTATAAACTGCATTAAGCACATTTTATTTGTTCGTAGGTGAAACTGGCAGCAGGACACAAGTTTGACCGAGACGTGGAGCTGCTCATTTATTACAAAGACAGTCACCAGCCCTCAGCTGTGGTGGAGGCAGGACAGGCCTCAGCCAAACCTGGTGAGCACATGATACTCTGTGTATTCTACTGCCATCTAGGGGTAAGAGAAAGGTTTGCAGTTGAGTCTGTTAGATGTTTTATTTTCTGGCTTCATTCATTTCATTTCTTCATATATAAAAAGCTTTGATGTGAAGGGATTAAGTTCAATAAATGCATCCATTATAGAACAGTGATTCTAACTAAAATTTTAATTATTGTCTGCTTGAGCATGAGATTGATTTTTGTTTTCATTTCTTTTGTGGTGATATTTTTAGTGTTTTAGTGTAAATCTGCAAAACTGTTCTCTCCATGGTTTTCAGGCTCTCTGATGGGAGACCCAGCCCTGATGCTGAGTCTGTACCCGGAGTTCCCCAAAGACATTATGTCATCTGTGTCTTCCTCTGGAGAGTTTGTGTTTCTATTGGATCGATCTGGAAGTATGGGCTGCTCTATGGGCCACAGAGGAGAGTCAGGGAGTCGGATTGCCAGTGCACGGGTATGCAGTGCGTACATAGGCTGTATACAAGAGCAAACTGTTATAGTTCAGCTTTTCTCTCACTATAGTTTTATGTTCTCAGGACACTCTGCTGCTGCTGCTCAAGAGCTTACCCATGGGCTGCTACTTTAACATCTACAGTTTTGGATCCACATTTGAACAAATCTTTTCGTAAATGATTTTTGAAAATCACAGTATTGCAATCCCTGCCTAAATCACTGAGACACACATCTAAAGATGCTTTGACTGTGTCTTCTTTCGCAGGGGGAGTGTGAAGTACAAACAAAAGACAATGGAGGAGGCTCTGAAAAAGGTGGAAAAGATGGAGGCTAACCTGGGAGGAACTGAGATTCTGGCTCCTCTAAAACGCATTTACAGTCAGGGCTGCATCCCCAACCAGCCCAGACAGGTACATTTAGATGATCTGTGTGTCTGTTCAGATTAGCCTGCAGTGGTTCAGGTCTAGTCCAGGTTTAAGGCTGGGTTTATTCCCAATTTGGATGTGTGGTGTGCATGAATGCAGAGGTAGAGGGCAGATTTGACTTATTTCAGATATATATTTACATTTGATGGTCCTGGTTTGAGACCAGTTTAGTCCTGATGTACATTGTGGTTTAGTCCTGGTCTAGTCAAGTATTAATTTGAGGTTTACTGCTATTTAGTCCCAATTTCTTTTTTGTACCAGTGTGAACAAGCCCTTTATTTCTTTCAACACATAATACAAAGTTTAAAGTTCCTGTACTTGACTTATTTCTGGGATATTTACTGTCTTCTCTGTCACTGCTGCATGAAATGTTCAACTGTCTGAACTGTGCTCTGTAGCTGTTTGTCTTCACTGATGATGGAGAAGTAGGAAACACCAAAGAAGTCATCAACCTGGTCAAGTCTAATGCAGGCTCTCACAGGTAAAATACAGCATTGACTGAACTTGTGTCCTGTTTATTGTGTGAATCAAACCTCTTTATGTCTCAGGTGTTTTTCTTTTGGGATTGGAGAAGGAGCCAGTTCTGCTCTTATCAAGGGTTTGGCCAAAGAAGGAGGAGGACACGCCCAGTTCATCACTGGAAATGACAGGATGCAACCCAAAGTAACACATCACAATTGTGATTCATAGAGATTGCTGCTTACTCAAGATGTTCACCACCAGTGACTGTGACAGATTTTTAGTATTGTTATTTATTATTGTTGTGTTGCATTATTTTGATGCCAGCTCTGACTAGTGCACACTGTTGATGTGTCTTTTTGCAAGACACTTCATCCATATTTCCTATGTATATGTGTGGTGTGAGTGTTGGTGATCGGGGGCCGTAGGTGCAGATTGGTTACCACAGTTCCATCAGGCTGCCCCAGGGCAGCTGTGGCTGTAGAAAAGCTTATCACCAATGAGCACTGGGAGTGAATGAAAAATACACAATTGTAAAGGGACTATTAGTGTTTGGAAAAGTTCTGTGTACGATTAAATATGATTAATGCGTTATTATTATTTACTACCCTAAAATGGATCAGATAACTTCTATAATCCCTGTGTTCTCTCCAGGTGATCCAGTCTTTGCGCTTCGCCATGCAGCCAGCAGTGGTGGACATCTCTGTGAAATGGGACCTGCCCAAAGGGGTGTCTGCCTCTGTGCTGTCCCCACCTCTCACATCCATTTTCCAGGGACAACGGTCACTGCTGTACGCCCAACTCACTGGACAGGTGCTCACTGTGGGCTGTAGGGGGCAGTACATTTCTGTTTAGAGCAATGGCCAAAAGCTGTGGTGTATTTTAGAGCAAAGAGGGAGCAGAGGGCTGTGTGACTGTCAAGTACAGCCTGGCAGGACGTCCCACTGAGAACAAGCTCAACTTCAGCCTCAAACCAGCGGAGGACACAGGGTGAGTGTGAACACACTGTGTGTCTAAAGGTAATTCAACATGAACAGTTGGCAGTGCTGGAGATGGACTATATAACATATAACACAAGAGAGATTGTTATATGTTCAACCACAGCAAAGCCCATTGTTAAACAGCTTTTAAAACCACTCTGTACATTGTGTAGTTTCATTTAATCAAAACACTACTATTATTTTAATAACATTTGTGTATCAACGCCAACAGAGAATGTCTGACAAACATCTGCTGTCACAGTGAAGAATTGTATCTCAAATTAGGATATGAGAAATGAATAAAAAAAAAAAAAAATGTAATTACACTCACATGAATTTCATGAACTACCCAATAATAATAATAAATCCTGTAAACAACTCAACCCAAAACATGCACATTAGACAAAATCCTCCAGCTAGGTGGTCCTGACCAAACCAAGATCTGGAGATGGGTCCCTGACCTCTGTACGGCAGCTGCCCACTACTCCTAACAGGGTGCCACAGCAGCACTGAAGCACTGGTCAAATGTAGAGAATGAACTTCCTCTATGGAGGATAAATAAGTTCACCATTAACCTCAGCACTTGTCTGTTTAATGTAGTTTTCTGTTTCCTGTTTATGTGCAGACTCACAGTGCACAGGCTGGCAGCACGCTCTCTCATTCGATCTCTGGAGCAGGAGCAAGAGGGCGCTAGAGGACAGAAAGACGACACTGTGAAGAAGAAAATCATTGATCTGAGCGTCCAATCAGGAGTCAGCAGCTCCTTCACTGCCTTCATCGCCGTGAACAAAACCAGCGGAGAAGCCATTCAAGGCCCTCTGCTGAGAAGAGATGTCCCTTTACCAAGCAAGTCCCAAAACTAAGCAGCATTTTCCTCACTGAAAAAAAAAATATATTAACATGAACATGATGCCAGTGCATGTAACCCGGCGATACTCAATACTCAAAACTGTAACTGTAAAGATAGACAAACATGAACTCTGATTTGCAATGATTATAATCTCGAAAAAGTATTTATTTTAGTTTCTGTTGACCTGTACATAATCCTCTATCAATCTCCCCCACAGGGATGATGGCTTATAGTGCACCCAAGACAATCGCCCGGATGTCTTGTCCTGATATGATGCCAATGAAGGCTTGTAAGTACAAACAAATACTGACAATGAAGTCATGTAATGTAAGCAGTACATGTATATGGGCTGTCCACTGAAACATGTTCAACAGTACAGGTGCAGTCAGTTCAAATTAGCAATTTGGCTAATGTTTTGATTCAACATGTGTGTCAGGTGCTCAAAAAAGAGAAAGAGAAGGCAGACTCCCACAATTTGGTCGCACAAGGAGGAGTAAGTATCTGAATATGAACAAAGGTTTTTATAAGGTAATATTCAGTTGTTCTTCCCCAGGTAGTGAAGCTCCTGGATCTTTTGATGTTAAGTGATTTTGGAACTTAGTTTAATGATATGCAAATCAAGCCTCTATCTAAGAAAATGTTATTTCTGAAGGGCACCTGTCTGTCAAAGGCACATCAGTTTAGTGTGTTTCAGGAGATTATAGGAGAAAACAGTGGTCAAAAAATGTGTTTAATAAACCTGAGCTGAAAGATGAGATCATATTTACACTGACATTGGGGGAGGGGTGATGTAGGTGGAGAAGAGAGGCAAGATCTTCATGGGGGCATGTACCCCACAGACGCAACGAGGGGTGAAGGCTTTTTGTTCTTATAATTATCTCTGTTTTTTGTTACTTCTTTAGCGCTTCCAGTGGTGGGATCTATTGGTTTCTGCAGCTCCACGAAGTATGTGCAAGATACATTGTGTGAAACCTTGGAGATGAAAGTGTTTTGATTTCTGGAATTTTGAAATCATAATTGCCCAATGCAGAGAATCACACAGAATTTCATGCTACACCCCTGGTTGGTTTGGTCCTGGTCTAGTCCAAGTAATACAGTCAGGCCTGTCGACAGAAATCTGGGGCCCTGGAGCAAGACACCTCACATGCTCCCCTTTAATATAAATGAATAGGAAGAGGGTAAAATTCTGGACCCCTAAGACCCTGGGCCCCAGAACAACAGACCTCTTTGTCCCCCCCTTGACTCCCCTGAGTGCAGGAGCCAACAAAAGACATCCTGCTGATGTACACAGGAGTCCACAGAAAAACAGCTACTTGAGCAGAAATAAAGATAGACAAACATCAACTCTGATTTGCAATGATTACAATCTTGAAAATGTATTTATTTTAGTTTCTGTTGACCTGTACATAATCCTGTATTAATCTCCCCCACAGGGATGATGGCTTATAGTGCACCCAAGACAATCGCCCGGATGTCTTGTCCTGATATGATGCCAATGAAGGCTTGTAAGTACAAACAAATACTGACAATGAAGTCATGTAATGTAAGCAGTACATGTATATGGGCTGTCCACTGAAACATGTTCAACAGTACAGGTGCAGTCAGTTCAAGTTAGCAATTTGGCTAATGTTTTGTTTCAACATTTGTGTCAGGTGCCGATGAAGGGACCCAACGCTCTCTCCGAAATTGTAAGTATATGAATATGAACAAAGGTTTTTATAAGGAAATATTCTGTTGTTTCTTCCCCATATAGTTGATCTCCTGGATCTTTTGATGTTAAGTGATTTTGTGACTTTAAGTTTTTTATAACATAATGATGTGCAAATCAAGCCGCTATTTAAGAAAATGTCTCCCTAGCGCCTTCTTAACATTTTACTTTGTTTATCTTTTTGTAACAAGTGTTATTTCTGAAGAGTAACAGTCTGACAAAGCCACATCAGTCTAGTGTGTTTCAGGAGATTATATGAGAAAACAGTGGTCAAAAAATTATTTTAATAAACCTGAGCTGAAAGATGGGATCATATTTACACTGACATTGGGGGAGGGGTGATGTAGGTGGAGAAGAGAGGCAAGATCTTCATGGGGGCATGTACCCCACAGACGCAACGAGGGGTGAAGGCTTTTTGTTCTTATAATTATCTCTGTTTTTTGTTACTTTTTTAGCACTTCCAGTGCTGGGATCTATTGGTTCTGCAGCTCCACGAAGTATGTGCAAGATACATTGTGTGAAACCTTGGAGATGAAAGTGTTTTGATTTCTGGAATTTTGAAATCATAATTGCCCAATACAGAGAATCACACAGAATTTCATGCTACACCCCTGGTTGGTTTGGTCCTGGTCTAGTCCAAGTAATACAGTCAGGCCCGTCGACAGAAATCTGGGGCCCTGGGGCAAGACACCTCACATGCTCCTCTTTAATATAAATGAATAGGAAGAGGGTAAAATTCTGGACTCCTAAGACCCTGGGGCCTGGGACAACAAACCTCTTTGTCCCCCCTGAGTGCAGTAGTCGACAAAAGACGTCCTGCTTATGTACACGGGACTCCACAGAAAAACAACTACTTGAATAGAAAAATACCAGGAAACTGTATTTATATGACAATGCAGATTAAACTCATGACCATGATTCACTTCCAAATTTTCAACTAAACCTCTTCTCCATTCTGCTGTTGTCTCATAAATACTTGAAATATGAATAAAATAATGATCAACCAATAAAAACTTTAGTCAGCTAAAAAAAATCAAAGTCAATTGATTAAGCGACTACAGGACTACAGTCTCTATAAGTCCAAATTTGTTTCTGGGTTTGGTTTAGTCTCATGTGGTTTGTGTGCAGATGTGAACGCAGCAGAAGTATCTAAATTGTGCTCTTTTGTGTTTTCTAGTGGCTTTAAATATGTGTGAAGAAATGGATTTTTGTGACGTGTTGGGTCAAGATGATCAAGGGTTTGACGTGCCTCCCTCACCCAAAGTGCAGCGGGACCCTCTGCTGCAGGTGGTGTCCCTGCAGAAGGCTTCAGGCTGCTGGGAGTTAGAACCAGCTCTGGCCCAAGCCCTGAGCAAGACCAGCCAAGACCTGGAGAGCAAACTGCCTGCAATGGTGAGTATGGAGGTCAAGATTATTAGGTTAATCAATATAACTGTGAGAGCTAAAGAATTGTGATTAATCAGGACTATTTTAAAAACTACATGAAGTCATTAATTAATTTTTTACACTTCACACTTTTTTACACTGCAAAATATTTTTTCACACATTTATTTTATCATAAAATAATTATTAATGAAAAGTGTAATTTTATACCATATATAATAAATATTTCACTTAAAGGAGCTAAAAGGAGACTTAATTCACAATAAACAAAGAAGAATGATTAAGAATGATTCTGGCTTGGTCACTACTTAATTCTTACCCTGACCCTATTTTCTACCCTCTTAATGAAGTATTTACTAAGCCTGAATCATTCTTAATCAACTATTTGTTCATTATATAAGACATTGTGTGTTTTTTTTGGCCAATTAAGATGTAGTTATTATAAAATAGCACCAAAATATAATATAACTTGTACTGGCTGGTGCTCTTTTCCACTCAACTGAACAGTTTTCTACAGAAAAAAGATTCCTCTTTTTGCTTTGTGTCGGTTATTTAGGCAAAGAAAGAAGTGTGGGCCACCATTTTGGCTCTGGTCTGGCTTCATGGTCTGAAAGCTGATGCTAAGGACGAGTGGGAGCTGTTGGTCATGAAGGCTGTGATGTGGCTGCGCTCACAGAACGGTAACTTCTCCTTAAATTCAGTTACAATTAATAACCACGTGTCTCTATATTTTGACCAGTGTGACTTAAACAGTCACTGATCAATAATGTAGGATTTGGTGAGACACACTTTTGAGCAATTTTTAAAAGCTTTTTAGCAATTAAAAATTCTAAGAAAATATTCAATATCTTAAATTGAGAAAATTAAAAGTGCCAAATGTGAAGAATTTTCTTGATTCTCTCTCCTTGTGATTTGGCCCAAATTAAATAAAAAAAAAATAAATCTATCATATGGTTCAAAACATTCTGTACTGAATCCTGATCAGAAAACCAAGCAAAAAGCCACTCTAATTGCGATGGTAGTACAGTTAGATTTTTTTCCTAAAATTGTGCAATCTTACTGTACATAAATAAGAAATGATTTTATGAACTAAATGTTTATCATTGATTTTTTGGGTCTGTTTTTCTCTAGCTCAAGGCCTGACTGAGTGTGTGGAAGCTGCCAATGCTCTGCTGGGGTGCACTGTTCAGAAAGATGCACTGGGACTCTAGATCTTTTTTTTTTTTTTTTTTTTTTTCAATTAAACAGCTTATTTAAAGGAACATGCAAAATGGAGGTGTTCTGCAAATGTGGCTTACATACAGTACAATGTGTCATTACATCGTTCCTAACATGTTAGTTTGATTCAAGTGTAAGCCATTCCTGTTGTGATAGGGTTATTTTTCTTTGCACAAGTTACTTGTGTATACACTCCAATAAATGAATTAATAAATGTCTTTAAAATGGTGTCTAATTTTTCAATCAGGTCTTCCAAAATAGTAGGCCTATATGTTCCCATCAAAACTTCAGTTAAAAACAGTATTAGGGTGAAGTCTATGGGAAGTCATGTAAAATGTCAAAAATCCAAGGTGGGATGGCAAAGACAAACAAAAGGTGGAAAAGAATGCCACAGATAAAATGTTACAGGCCACTAAAGGTCAAGACAGCTCTAGAGACGCAGGATCTTTTTCTAGAGGAGGTTAGACTGAAGGGCCTCCAAAAGAAGAGGGATGTCTATTTCTTCAAGGCAACTCCACCCTGCCAGAAGAGGAGACCCGGCCTCCAGGAGAAAGACCAAGACAAGCTTTTAGTGACCTCTACTGGACAAGCCCAATCATCAGAGGACCCACTACAGCTGCTGTGTGCAGATGTTCTACCAGGTGTTGGTTGCCATGGCGATAATTCAGATCAGCAATGAAAACCTTCAGTGGTTCGAGCCATCTCTGCAACTAGAGATACAAACATCTTCTGGTGCAGAAGAAGTCACATCTAGAATAACCTAAAATTTGTGACTGTGACAACCCTGATGTCTGTCTGATATTTGTGCCTGTGTGTGAATAAATTCATTGCCTTGGTCATGGTGAATACAACAAGGAAAGTCAAATTTCAGGGCATAACCACTGAATATGTGGTTAGCAGCAGTTTCTCTGCTTGAGGTAGTAGCAGAGGTGGGACCAAGTCCTTGTTTTGCAAGTCTCAAGTAAGTTTCAAATCTTTGACCTCAAGTCCAAGTCAAGTCCCAAGTCAAAGACAAGCAAGTCACTCGAGTCTCGAGTCTCGGGCCCATAAATCTAAGTTAAGTCCAAGTCGTCTGCTTTGAGCTTTGAGTCATTTCAAATCTTTAAACCAAAGTAGCTTAGATTTATGCCATTAATATGAATTTTAAACTAAATTGTACTTCAGGTAATTGTTATATATGAGTTTTTATATAAGAGTTGTAGAAATGTAAATTTTTTCTTTTTAAATGTCTTGTCAAAATCTTAGTGTGAATCATTACAGTCAGAATAGAAAGAATTCAGATGTAACAGTGCTAAATAACAGTTATTTTTTCATGTGTCTGAAATGGAAGGATCATGTTTTATGTAGTTCCCTCTGTTTTACTGCATTGTACTGTATATTACTTTAGTATATTTGATGATACCACATCACAGTACTTCAGTTCCATCCAAAGTACCAAACAGAGAAGTGGGAGGGACATGTTCCAGTTTGTTCCTGTAAAAATAAGCACCACATGCATCAACTGTAAAGAGAAAAGCATTTTCTAAAAACATATTTTTAGGAAAAGTATCAGGTCTTCTCAAGTCACAGGGCTCAAGTCCAAGTCAAGTCCCAAGTCACTGACCTTCAAGTCCGAGTAGAGTCCCAAGTCTTAGTCCATTGTATGAAGTCAAGACTCAAGTCTGACTCAAGCCCAAGTCACGACTTGCAAGTCCCAACCTCTGGGCAATAGCATCAGCTTGTGCAAAGGGTGTGAAGTGATCAACTATCATTAATATATATTCATTGAGATGAAGAAAGTCTATGCTCACAAGTTCAAAGGGTGTTACAGTATTTGTCAAATTGTGTCACTAGGCTTTTTCTGTTAGACACAAGAATTTTAAGTTGATATTGTTGAAGTTAATTCTATATCCCCTAGTGTTTATTCCACTTCTCTCAGTGTTCATTCAACTTCCCCTAATGTTAATTTGGCACCTCCCACTCACCACTTCAAACTCTCATAAGAAAAGACCAGTTTGAACCAGTTTTGTGCATAATTTCATCTTAAATTAACTCAAATATCAAGTGGAGAAATAAAATACCTCTGTTTGATGTTTAGGTAAATCAGGATAATCCTACAAAGTGTTATCCGTTTAATCTCGGGGGATTTCGGGGTTAAACAGTAACTTTTTTCCAGTCCCACATGAGTTTGCCATGGGACAACCCAGCCTCATGCTTTACCCCAATTCCTCACTTAATGCCTATTGAATTGATTCATCACAACAGAGACACATACCTTAGAGGCCAGTGCACCCCAGCCCCCTGTTCTCCATCACTCTCACTTTTGCTCACACACCCTAAAAAGTCCTGCCTAAAAACAATTAGAAACATTAACAGCCCCCTCAGCACTCAGGCACTCACATTTTACTGGCATTAGTGGCTAAGCAACAACTAAAAGCTGAAATTCAACTATATGTTTGAACAAGCTGTATGCAAACTTTTCTTTTGGGAATGTCGTCTTCTTTACACTTGCAATGAAGTCTTCTAACACTTGAAGCCATTTATTTAACTTGAAGTGATTCATTAATTTGACAAACTTTGTTCTTCCAGAAAAGAAATGAACTGAAAACATTTAGCATTGTTAAGGGCATATTTAACTTCAGATGAAACAAATAAATTAAATACATGGGCTAAACATTAAGACCCAGCAGAACCACCACCACTATTCCACTGAATTAGGGACTTTTGCAGGGTGAGAACAAACCTTTTCTCTTAACATGCCTGTGTTCACTTGATCTAGTTTTTGTCAATGTTTTCTTTTTCCTTTACGGAAAGTAGAGACCACAAAAAACAACCTCGACCAGAGCATTCCCTATATCTGCTAAAGCTGGTGTTGCACTGATCTTTGCTTTGTGCCTGAGTGATAGTGACTTCCACAACACAAATAACAAGCATGCAGCCACATAGACACTTCGAGCTGAATCACTTTGCACTTGTAACTGACAAAACAGTTTTAGAGATCGTTACCAGTCTGAGTTCATCTACTTGCTACCTTGACATGTTACCCACTAGATTTCTAAAGTCCGTCCTCAGCAGTTTACTTTCACCACTCGCTCACATAGTTAACATATCACTTCAGTCTGGAACATTCCCAAACACATTGAAAACTGCGGTCATTAAGCCTCTCCTAAAGAAGAGCAGCCTTGATGCCACAGTACTGAACAATGTCCGACCCATCTCAAATCTGCCATTTTTTGGCAAAGTCCTTGAAAAAGCTGTTTACCAACAGCTTACGAACTTTCTCCAAATTAACAACTCCTTTGATGTTTTCCAATCAGGTTTTAAGAGCCCACCACAGCACTGAGACTGCTCTTATCAAGGTGACAAATGACATCCGCCTGAACATTGATGCAGGTCTCAATCCTGATCCTGTTAGATCTCAGTGCTGCTTTTGACACTGTCGATCATGGGATCCTCTTACAGAGACTAGAGGACTGGGTGGGCATCTCTGGTACTGTACTAAACTGGTTCAAGTCCTATCTAGAAGACAGGAAGTATTTTGTTGAAATTGGAAACTGTCTCAGATCGCATAGCCCTGACCTGTGGGGTGCCTCAGGGGTCAATCCTGAGCCCCCTGTTGTTCAATCTCTACATGCTGCCATTCGGCCAGTTAATAAGCAGCAATAACGTGTCCTACCACAATTATGCAGATGACACTCAGATCTACGTCTCACTGGCAGCAGGAGACTATGGACCAGTGGACTCACTTTGTCACTGCATCCAACAGATCAGTGTGTGGATGCAAAACAACTTTCTCCAGCTAAACTCTGACAAGACTGAAGTCATAGTGTTTGGTCCACAGAAACAAAGGGACAGTGTCAGCAGTCACCTCCAGTCTCTCTCTCTAAAACCTTCAAATCAGGCAAGAAATCTCGGGGTAATAATGGACTCAGATTTGAACTTTAATAGCGACATCAGCTCAATAACATCTGCGGCCTTTTACCAGTTAAAAAAATCAAAGGTTTACTGTCTAAAGCAGACATGGAGAGACTTATCCATGCGTTTGTCTCCAGTAGGTTAGACTACTGTAATGGTCTGCTCACTGGTCTCTCCAAACGAGCTGTGAGACGCTGCAGTACATCCAGAACGCTGCAGCTCGGGTCCTTACTCGAACTAGGAAGTACGAGCACATAAGTCCTGTGCTCAGGTCTCTGCACTGGCTTCCTGTGGCACAGAGAATAGACTTTAAAGCAGCTCTTCTTGTGTACAAGTGTCTCTCCATGGCCGAGCACCAAAGTCCATCTGTGACATGTTAGTGTCATATGAACCATCTCGCACTCTGAGGAGCTCAGGGACCGGCCTCCTGCTGGTGCCCAGAGTCACGACTAAACAAGGGGAGTCAGCGTTTCAGGTTCACTTTTTTAATTTTAGTCTTTATGATTATTTATGTTTTGATTTGTTTTTATTATGATTTTAATGTATTTCTTATTCTGTAAAGCACTTTGAATTACTCTGTGTACGAATTGTGCTATACAAATAAACTTGCCTTGTCTTGTCTTTTTCTCACAGGGCCACATATTTTAAAATATTATTATATAAGATGGCTACTGTGTAGAAGGAGTAACATGCCACACCTTCATGATAATTCAAGGAGTACATTTTGTACTCTCTTGAGAATCTGGGGATGAGGCCAATTTCACAATAAAAAAGCATGTTTTTTTTTTTCACAACCAAAATAATAATTATAATAAAAACTAATTTATTCTAGTATTCTTTGGCTAAAATGTTTATTACTGTGGCTTTACAGTCGGCCAAAAAGCCCAAATGCCCAGTCTTTTAAAATAAAAAGCCCAGTCTTTCTAAATAAACTATACTGAACCTGATTCAACACGTTTTGAAAAGTTTGGGAACCCCTGTTAGAGTGTGTCTGCCCCCAAGAGCAAATCAGGCAGATAGGAAATTAAATCAGAACCAAACCAGGAACAACTACACTGACTGTAATCACCGGTGTAAAACGCATTTTCATAATTAATAAAATCTCTTCCGGTTTAGTTGAAGTTTGCGGTAAACCAACAGCGCGTCTGTGCGTCTCACATCCGCACTGAAGTATTGATTAAAACCACGACAGAACGTGTTCTTCTATCAGAGGTAGGACGGTGACATTATTGCTCTGCGCGTTTTAATACTAATATATCTTTAATAATATCTCTTTACTACATTTAAAAAAACCTTTTGTATCTTATTTAATCTTATTCCGTTCGTTCAAAT